AAAGCTTCTTTGAGGGGTTTGGAAAGCCTCGTGTGGTGTAGAGTTGCGCCTTGGTCTTCCTAAGAAAGACTGGAGGTTTCTTTGCGAGCTTCACAGTGTTTCAGGTGTTGTAGAGTTGGGCCGGTTTTGCTTCTTCACGGGGTTTCCAGAGCTTCGAGTGTTGATGGGCTGTGTCGGCGAAACAAAGTAGAGACATTCTCACGGTGCTTCACGTATTGCAGGGTTGTGCCTTTAAGATAAGTTGGAGGGCTTCCAAAGCTTCATGGTTGACTAAGCTGTATGGCGGAGAAGACACGCTGAAGGCTTTCATATAGGGCTTCGTGCGGAGAAGAATTGTGTATATTATTTCACAGGGCCTCCAGGGTTCACATTTTGTTGACCTGTGTCGCTTCTTAGCACTCCACAAGGCTTCATATTTTGTAGAAGTGTGCAAGGAGAAAGGAGAGTGAGGCGTCATCTTCCTGGGGTTTCATCTGTTATAGAGTTAAGCCAGCTATAGCTATGGCAAACTATAGGCTTCTGTATTGCACACAACTTCATGCGTGGTAGCGTTGTACCGGCTATATTATATTTGAGACTTTTTCATGTAGGTTATGTTATTATGTTTTCTAGTACAGACCGATAACTCCTCTGTTGACAGATTGGAGGCTTCTTCGCTAGGCTTCACTTGTTATAGATTAAAGCTGGCGAAAACTGAGTTGAAATAGAGGGCTTTATTCAGGCTCTACCAAAAGGCCTTTAAATAAAGGTATTGCAGTCGTAGTTGTATTTACTCAGATATAACATGTTCTTATCATTAGTTTCTTGCTTTTGATATTGCTTCGCTGTCGCTTTATGCAATATATTCAGAGAGAGAGACAGAGACAGAAAGAAAAAGAGAGAGAAAAGGATGGTAATGAGGAGGGAGGGAGAGAGAAAGAAAGAGAAAGAGAAAGACAGACTGGCAGACAGATAGAGAGAGAGGCAGAGACACAGAGAGGGAGACGTACATACATCCGGTGTGTATGTGTATATATATGTGTGTGTGTTGTACAAGTATATACATGTACATATGCATATATATATACACATACACCCTCGTATACATGTCGATATACAACAGACAGATAAACATACCACTAATTCTACACAAAAGCAAAGTCGAGAGATAATATTTTCCTTTCATGCTGCTCAGTGACGAAGTGGTGACAACGAACCTAATTTTGGGTTTCCAGAGAAGGAAATCCTATAGGTAGGAGGTTTTTTCTCGTATTCGAGAATGTGGACTGTGTTTATGTTGATTCTTTTATTTTGCATTTTGTTGCGATTGTGTTTATGCCTTTTTTGGTTTTGTTTATGTGGTGTGTGTGTATCACGATGTGTTTTCACAGTTGTTAAAGCTGGTTCACGATATATATATATATATATATATATAATATATATTATAATACTATATATATATTATATATGTATATGTATGTATGTATGTATGTATTATGTATATTTTTAAATGCTTTTAGTTTATGTTTATTGATTAATGTATTGATTTTATCGCAACGGCATTTGAATGCTTTCTTTTTCACGATGCACAGCTTTGCAACACAATTTTTTTTAAATATTAATTTTATAATTTGACTGTAATATGTATTGTTTATTTTAAAAACCTCTCTGTGGTTTTTGAAATGAAATGATAATAATTAAGTAAAGTTAAATATAAAGAGATACATAATTTTGAAATTTTCTAACATTTTGAGAAGTGACCATTAAACACACTTTTTCATAGAAAGAGAGACCTATATAAGCGAAAAAAGTCCGAAAGGAATAAAGGGAGAAAAAAAATCATAAAAGAGAGAAAAAAAAACAAAATACTCTATAAAAAAGGTAAAAAAATTAACCCACATACCCTAACATCTCTTTCTCCTCTTCCCCCTCCTCCCACCCGACATCCCGCCCGCCCCACAGCGCCGGGCTTCAGACCCGTGGGCGACTCGGACATCATCAGCAACACCGCCCCCACGCCCACGGTCCGCATGCGCATCTACAAGGCCACGGGGCAGGAGGCGAACAACGTGGACCCTCGGGAACTCCTGACGCTGAAGATCGAGATGGAGCAGACCTCCGCCTTCGCCATCTTCGCCAGGAACCTCGAGGCCAGGACGGACAACGGCGAGATTATGACCCTTATTGACAATATTGGGTGAGTCTGTTTTGGTGTGTGCGGGCGTGCGTGTTGAGGGAAGGGTAGGTAGAGGTTGATGGTGTGTATACATGTATGTAATATATACCTATATAATATATATATAGGCTCATACATAGGGTAATAATATTTTTTTATGGATTGTGTGTAATGTATGTATGGTATGTATGGCGATTTGTATTTCGCTATGTATGTATAATTAATCTTATTAATAATATAGCTTCGATGATACCATTATTATATGTTTTATATATGGATTGTCTAGTTATTAGAAATATGTATGTATGTATGTATATATATTACTATAATATTATCTATATATATATAGTATGCGTGTATGGAATGGATATAATATATTACGAGTAGAGTGAGGTGTATTATATAATAGTATATGTTGGATGTGTGTGGGATGTGTGTGTGTGGTGTGTGTGTGTGATTGTGGTGTGTGTGTGTGTGCTGGGTGTGTGGCGATGCGTGGCGGTGGTGTGCGTGTAGTGTAGATATGACTTACTATAGATTGTAGAGGGTTAGTTACTGTATATGTTAGGGTAGTTAGTTGATGTGTTAGGTGTTATGTATATAATGTGTTAGATATGTATATGTGTTAGTATGTAGTGTGTTTGTGTGATATGTTTATGGTGTATAGTTGAGAAATATAGAGAGAGAGAGAGTATAGAGATGTAGATAGATAGATAGATAGTATATAATGTGGTGATGGATGTGTGGGATGTGTAGGAGGTGTAAGATTGGAGTGTAGAGTGAGGATGTGTGGTAGTGAGGCTGGTAGTGGTAACGTGACGTGGTGTGTGTGCGGTGTAGTGATATAGTTATGAGTATATACTCTACATAGAGACTATGAGAATATCATATTATATGAATTAGTAAGTTAATGATGCCGTATGTGTGTACGTGTGTGTGGTGATGAATGTGTTGTTGAGTGGTTGCTGTGTGTGTGTGTGCGATGCGTAGCGGCGTAGCGTGGCGTGCGTGTGTAGTGTGTGTAGTCGTAGATGAGTATATAGTATAATGCTAAGCGATGAAGTCATGTAGGGTATCGAGTATTAGAGCTATGAAACTACTATATATGTATGTAATGTATGAACCTTAATTAGGTAAAGATTACCTATATATATATATATTATATATAGTATATGTGTGTGTGTGTGTGTGTGTGATGATGTCCGTGTGAGTCGCTGTGACGTGGTGTGTCGTGGGATGTTGTAGTTGTAGTGCGTGTTGTGTTGTGGTGTGTGTGTATGTATGTATGTATTGTATATGGTGTGTATATTATGCCTTAATGATTATTTATAAGTATAAATTAAAACAATATATAAAATAATAATCTAAATTATATGTAATACATAGTATATATATATATTATGTGATACTATTAACTATTATATATGTTATCATTGTATAGTGTATACTGCTCGCACTATATATATCACCTATAAATTACGTATATATATACTATATAATATATATATATATACTATCATGCTGTGTGGTTTGTCGTGTGTGTGTGTTGTGTGTGTGTGAGTGGTCTATATATATATCCTAACTTAATATCTACTCATATAATATTATAACTTAATTATATATTAAAATATATTATTAATCTATAATTATAAACCTTAGAAACTTAACCCCCATCCATATAATAAGCATTATTATACCCCGAATACCATATAATTAATATTATAAAGTAATTATATATTATAAATATTAATTGATAAACTAAAAAAAAAAAAAAAAAAAAACATCCAAAAATTATTTCCCATTAATAAAGGATATTAATAATAAATCTTATATTAAGATATAATAGCTCAGAGGTCGAGCTTGTTGTGTTATCAGGTATTTCTTACACTGGATCCATAATCATAATTTTTCCTCACACTAAAAAAACAATACAGGATTCCCTGGCGGAGCGTATAGAATACCTATAAACAGGGTCTTTATGAAGTACTGTTGGGAAATACAGAAACATAAAAAGGATTATTCATAAGCTTTAACTGGCGTATTGCTTTGTTTTTATTGATCAACTCATCTCAGAGTAAAACATGGAGGGGTGAGTGAGACTAAAAGTTCCTGTCCTTTTGAAACGAAAACAAATATGCTGAGCATTCATAACTAAAAAAAAAATAAGAAAAGATAAAACGAAAAAAAAAACTATATATGATTATTATCATATAAAATATTTATAGGTAGACCTATATAACTAAAACCCACATAGGAATAATTAAAACTCACACTTAAAATCAATAAATTAAATAAATTATAATATAAAATTAGATACTAAATAATTGCAACATATACTAAATCAAATACTAAATTAATTTTACATATTTAATATAATTATTTCACTCATTATTCAGATAAATACTATAAATACCTATGTATTAAATAAATAAAAAGATAAAACAACAGATATAACAGGTGAACAGTGTTAGTAAACAATCACACTGAAATACCATTCACGCCACCTATTACCCTTATTCATACACCCTACATAGCTATCATAAGACCTCTTACCATTTAATTAATCAAATTATTAAAATATAAAACTATGTATATTTATATATTAATATATAAAAATTAATATCAGTAATTATATAATCTAATAATTACTATAACCTCCCTCCCTCTCCAATACCTACAAACACTATTCACGTGTGAATTAATAGCACTTAATCCTATAATAAGTTACTAAAAGCCCTCTCCATCGATATAAACCTTCACACGTAGTCGCCCCCGTATCCTTTCCCCAGCACTACTTACCTTTTATCACATACTCATATATAATAATATTAAGATTATATTGTTACCATGTACCTATACCTCAGAGAGTGTGGTAGGGAGTGGAACTAATTATATTATATAATAATGTCTTAAATCTTTATTATATATATATATATATATATATATATATGTTATGTATACTGGTATCGCTTATATATATAAATATTATTATACATATGATATATATTATGTATGTATAATTATATACTATATATACTAATATATATATATCTATATATATTATATATTATATATATATTATATTATATTATATATATAGTCATATATAAATATATATATATATATATAAACATTTGATATACCGTATATATATATTATATATATATATATATATTATATATAATTGAGAGAGAGAGAGAGAGAAGAGGTAGCGAGGAGAGCGAGAGAGAGAGAGAGAGAGAGAGAGAGGAGATAAAGCAAGAGCGAGAGATGATGTGAGAGAGATGAGAGAGAGAGAGAGAGATGAGAGAGAGAGAGAGAGAGAGAGAGAGCAGAGGACGAGAGAGAGAGAGAGCGGCGAGCCCATCTAGACACTAACCCATCCACCTGCCCTTACGCCCAGGTGCCCCCGCTACCGCCAGCATCTTCCCGGAACTTGAGGTGGAGGAAAGAACCAAGAGCCTCTTCGGCAACCTTCAAGGCCTCTCCGCTTCCCGTCCACCGCCAGAGTCAACTTCTCGTGGCCACCATCCGGTTCTGCCAGGAAGCGATGCGAACCGGTAAGTCTCTCGTAGTTCTAGCGAGGAGCGCGGTTCTACTAGGAGGGACTGGTTCTAGAGGGGTTCTTCTTCCCCATTCCATTATCTTCATCTCCAATCCCCAATCATCCTCCCTCATTCCTAATCCTTGCCGAACCCTAATCACTTAATCTCCTTCCCACAATTCCTAATAATTTTCCCCAATCCCAAATCTTCTGGCCGATTACCTAATCTGCCCCCCTCCTCCCCAATCCCTAATCTCCCCTCCCTTTCCCCAATCCCTAATCTTCTGTTCCCATCAGGTGTCATGCGGTGCCGGAGTCGTGTCATACGGACGCCGTCGACGCAGAGCAGCGAACTCGACCTTAGTACGACACCGAGTCCATAGGCCTACTCACGGAGGACGAGCTCGAGCGACGAGATGGCTACCTCGAACTGCGAGGACCGGCGGCGCGCATACGACGACCGAAGGACGCTTACCACCCTCAGCGGTCACTGCCGGAGGCTCTGCTCTGGACTCGACGCTCATCGACAATCTGCTCGCACGCACTAGAGTGAGCACGCTTATTCTTATTCTTATCTCTCTCTTTATTTTTATCTCTCCTTATTATTTCCTTTTTGAAACGCGTTTTGTTTTTTTAACGAATATTTTCGGAAGTGGTCACTCTTATTTCTTTCTTTTCTACTTATGTTGTTATATCGACTGTTTTTATTATTTCTCGTGTGTCTTTATATGGACTTTTTTTTTTGAGAGGGTGGTAACACATGGGAAGACTTTCATGTTTCTATGTTTCCTGTATTGTCTAGCTCTCAGGGGTCTATTCCCGTCGAATTATTATCGGACTGGTGTAATAGATATCTTGTCGTCGATTTCAAACATTGCACTCTACGATTGATTCTTTTTTAGTAAACTTTCTTTTTTCTCTCTACTTGCACATGTGCTGGGTCCGTATATCTTGAAAGCTCGGTGCGCACTTATTGCGAGCTCTTTGTGTAGTACAATTTTCTTCTTCTTTTCTTTCTCGTTTCTTTCTCTGTTTATATATCGCAACCTCTCTTTTTTATCTCAACATATTTTCCGCTCATAGTACTCTTCTCTCCACCACCTCCTCTCTCTGTCCAGTCACCTCCACAAATGTATATCACATACTATAAATCTCATCTGATCTTTTTCTCAACACTCTTAATTGTGTCTACTCACTCCCCTCTATTTATTCTATAAATTCCTACAGATTTCTCTCTGTCTTCCATCAAGTACACTCAGTGTCTGTCTTCTCACCCTCCGACGCCAGCATCTCGTTTCTCCTCAGTGTATGCGTCGATGGCCTCCTTCTCTCTATACTACCTTCTGTCTGACTTCGTCTCTACCCTCGTCCTCTCCTCTCTACCGCGTGTCCTCAAGGCCGTAGGTGTGACTCCCGAGAGGGAGGTGGTGGAGGAGTGAGTTCTGTCGCATGTCGGCCGCTCAATATATACGTGGCGCTGCTCCGCGTGAGTGTGCGTCCGTCGAGTGTGTATTGTACTGTGTTGTTTTCGCTTATTCTTTCATTGCTTGCGCTATTTTTTTTTAGAGTATTTTTTTAGCGTATTCTTTGCTCTTTTCTCTTTTTGTTGCTTTTTCGCCTTTTCTTTTTCGTTTTCGAGAGAGACGTTAAGTCGTTGTGGCCGCTTCTTTTAAATTTTGTTTTCGTCTCACACCTCTCCTTTCTCTTCTTTCTCTTTTTTTCTCGTTTCTTTTCTTTTTTCTTTTTATAATTTTTTCGTGTTTTTTGTCTCCTTTTTCGGTTCTCCTTTTCTCTCTTTCTCTTGTTCTTTCTGAGTGAGGTCAGTTTCCAATTAGATACGACTGTGTGTGACCTGGAGTGTTTTCGCTGTCGTACTCTCTATCAGACGGCGACGTCCGGCTCGGGTACACTCCGCTTTCCTCTCTTGGCACAGAGAATTTAGATAGTCATCCTGGTGATTTTGGTTTTTTGTATATTTTTTATTCATGTGTTTACCCTGTTTTTTATATTCGTTTCCAGGGTTATCTAGAAGTGCCTTTCTGTCTCTGCTCTCTCTCGCGTCGATGCTACACTCTCTAGCTGGAATATGGTCTCCCGTATTGTTTCCGCTTATCCCTTTTAAGTTCTCCGTCATCGTTTCGTGTTATTTGTGTATGTCTTCTATTTCTCATATATAGGTTATTCCTTCCACTTTTAATTAATTTGCAGATTTTTTCTTTGCTCCGGCGTTTTTCCTCATTTATTTTCGCTCTGCTCCTTTTTTCGCTATTGGGTGACGCAGGGCATTTTTCATCGCTCGGGTGATTATTTCATGCGCTCCATTTCGCTTTAACAAAAGTAACAACAGTTCCTGTTTTAGTCATTAGCTCATTTGACTGGCGAGCCCCTACGTCTCGAACTCCTGGGAAAATTATAATAATTGTAATTACGTATGTGAATTAAATTACTTTTTGTGTTCTTAATCTCGTATTTTCTCACGTCTAGCTGGCAGGAAAAGATGGAAAGGTATAATTTGTATTTAAGAGTACATTATTTAAGAGTACATTATAAACAATGCCTTTTGTTGCAATAAATGGCTTTAACTACATTTTTTTTATTATCTGAAAGTTATAGTTCAAAACACATCGTTCCATTTTCTTTAATGTAAGCGAATCCGAACGACAGAGAAAACGTACCCAATTTCACCGAAGACTGATATTTCAACATTAAAAATCTTTTCTCAATAAAAAGCGGTTCCGTTGACTAATTCGATGACAATTTTCAAAGGCTAGTTTAAGAGATATTTTAAGATGTTAACGTTAACAAACTGATTATTAGTTTAAGAGATATTTTAAGCAATTAATTTTAACAAACTGATGATTTTTTCATTCGTTAACGTGTTGGGAAGACACGAAGACACGATGCCTGAAGGATGGGACAAACATGATCGTTATCGCTATCGTGACGGTGAGTTCGATTTTGTTTGTTTGGTCATCTGTGTGTCTGCATATGTGTGCGTGGACTAGAGAGAGAAATAGAGAGGGGAGAGGGAGAGGGAAAGGGAGAGGGAGAGGGAGAGGGAGAAGGAGAGGGGAGAGAGGAGGGAGAGAGGGAGAGAGAGAGAGAGAGAAAAGGAAAAGGGAAAGGAGAGAGAGAGAGAGAGAGAGAGACGCATAAACTACTGTCGTAACTATAAACCGTTAATGTTAATTCATTAACTAGTTATTCCGAGAAAATGACAAATCTAAACTAACCCAAAGATTAACATAATTGAAAAAACACCCCTTAAAACAATTTCACGAAATAACAATAAACATAGCAAGATAAATAAGTTTAACCTAAATCTAAACCTTAAATCCATTTTAACCCGGACATTACAGAGACATATGTTGCAGACGACTACGTATGTACTCCCACCTCGACCGTGATCGCCGCCGTACTGACGCTGTTGGTACTCCTGTGTGCCATATCCGCCGGCTTCGTTTTCTTTTACCGGTCCAAAAAGCGTCATTGGCAGAAAATGGGAAGCTGTGAACCCTTCCCTATTCCACCACAGGTAACTTTCTTATTTTATTTTTGTGTGTGTCGGTTTTTATTTTGTCTTCCGCTTTTGTTGCTTATTGTTTTTGTGTTTGTATATAGTTATGTTTTGTAGATTAGTTATTTTTTGTATATATTATATATAGTCTCACCCGAAAGAATCTTCCTTTAATTTTCATTGTTTTTACTGCTTTCTTTTTATCTTATTTTATCTGTTCATGCTTTCTTTTTTCTCTCCTCTCTCTCTCTCTCTCTCTCTCTCTCTCTCTCTCTCTCTCTCTCTCTCTCTCTCTCTCTCTCTCTCTCTCTCTCTCTCTCTCTCTCTCTCTCTCTCTCTCTCTCTTCTCTCTCACTCTCTCTCTCTTACTCTCTCTATCTCTATCTCTATCTCTCTCTCTACTCTATCTCTCTCTCTATATATATATATATATATGTATATATGTATATATGTATGTATGTATGTATATACATATATATAATCTGTCTATCTCTATCTCCCCTTCTATTACACCTTCCTTCCTCCACACTTTCTTTCTCTATCTCCCTTTTCCCAGCATCTGCCTTGACATGTATTTATGATAAGACACTTGTTTCTCATAATGTCACAATTTAAAGGTTTTTATCTTAAACTTGATAGATAAGAGACCGAATTATGGCATCATGTGAGATCGAGTTGTCACCTAGGCATTATTCACCTGCTAATTTTGTGCTGTACATTATGATCTGCTTTTACACTCTTTGTATATTATATTTTCTATTTTGCTTTTCTGTGGATGAAACCGTCAAGATCGAAATTGTTCATTTTGATGGTTATTATAAGCATTCGATATTTTTAAATTGAGTCTTGCCCATATTTTTTGTAGAAGTTTCAAATCAAAAGCTAAAATTTTGATGTGGTTTCTCTGACTGTTTCATTCACAAATTTGTGCACTGATTGCTGGTATTTACATAAGCACTGTTAAATTATCTCTCTCTCTCTGTCTATCTCTCTCTCTCTCTCTCTCTCTCTCTCTCTCTCTCTCTCTCTCTCTCTCTCTCTGTATATATATATATATATATATATATATATAATATATATATATATATATATATATATATATATATATATATATATATATATATATATATAGAGAGAGAGAGAGAGAGAGAGAGAGAGAGCATAAACGACGCAACTACCAGACCGCTGAAAACGACCACCAGATGCGCAAACAAGTTATTCACTATTTTTAATTTCTCCCCCCCCCCCTCCTCCTCCTCTCCCGCCCTCGTATTGCGTCACCAGCGCCAGGGTCACCACGCCTCCTAGAAGCTAAGGAAATCGCCTCAAGACGCTGTCCCCGGAAACGCAAGAAAACACAAGGAAAAGATATATAAGATATACGGATTTTAGGGATAGCTTTACCTCCCCCTCCCTCCCTCCCCTTCCCTTCCCTCGTCGTCCTAAACACCCTATTACCCTCCCCACGATACCCCCAAACACACCCTAAATGTTTACCCAACACCACCCCCTCTAAATACCCTCCCCTCCCACCCCGAAACACACCCTCTCCCTCCTCCCCTCCCTCTCCTCAAATACCCCCCTTCCCTCCTCCCTACTCCCTTTACCCCCCTCCTTACTCTAGCCTCCCCTTACCTCCGTCTACCCTCCACGTCCCTCCCCCCTTCACCCCTTTCCCAACCCCCACCCTTCTCATTTATCCCTAATTTCCATAATTATAGAAATGCGTCGATGATAGAAAAAAATTGAGGGATTTTTTTATCACATGTAAAATTCCGAAGATTGTCTTTCTGTCCAAGACGATTTGATAATGTATAATACAACTGTAGTTTTTTTAAGGAGTGGATGTAAAAAGACCCTATGTTTCGCTTGATTTATTGATACAGTAGTTTTGATGTATTTTTTTACATTTTTTTTCTAAAATCAGATAAAAAAAGATGAAATTTTTTTTAGGAAAATTGATCAAAGTGTAATCTAAAAAGAATATATTTTAGAATATTTATTTTTTTGGCCATTTACGACTTTTGTTCATAGGCTCTTGGTACATTTATCTTGTAGTTTATTTCATGTAAAGAAAAAAAATATGAAATGTATATATATGTCTTAGCATGAATGAGCAAAAAATGTCCCCCTCCTCTCATGTTAATTTAGTATTTCCCTTTCGGGACATGTATATTTTTCAACTTTACGAATAAATGATAGATTTTGCTATGAGAGTGAAGCACGTTGTGTATATATATCTCTGTCTCTACGGTGCTTGAAACTCCTTCGTCGACGATATGCAAAGTATGCTTAAAACACTTCAGTAAGGTGAGTCTAATGTGAATGTGTATATATATCTTAAGCTGTTAAAATAAGTTAAGGTTTGAATTTCGAAAGGAATCGGTATATTTTGCCTATCTTTTTGAAAATCTTGTGTTTTAAATAGAATTCGATTACTAATCAAAATCATTAGCATTTGCCGGTTATTTATCTTATATATCTTCACCTCTTATCTGCCATCAGAGAACAAAATACCAGATGTATCCAGTTATTTAGTATCTGATATGATTCAATTATATAATGGAAATCCATTTCATTGAAGGAAAATCAGGGAAACATTCACAAATTTAGAAAATAGGCTAACCCTCCGGCACCCATGACCAGACAACTCACCCGCCTTTTTCCCGTTTTCTGTGACCAGCCGAAGAGCCAATTCTACAACAGTCCAGAAGTTATGTTCCGAGCCGCATACGGGGGCTTCCCTGGCCAGTCCAACATGGCATCCAACATGGCAGCTTTTGGCACTCCCCAGGCACTCTCTCCTATGCACGAGGAGTCACCACAGTACAAGGAATAAGCTAGCCCGCGAGCCTCCGCCTTGAGAGTGTAAAAGAAGGAAAAAAAAAGTAAAAATGATATATATAGCTGAGGTTACGTTTTTTTCGGGAATACTTTTTTATTTTCAAAGATTTTCATGTTTTTATTTACATTGTTGTAGGAGAAAGTGTTTTGTCGTTTTATGAATTTGGTATTTTAATTTAGTTGTTTTTTTCGAATAGAGAAAGAAGTTGGTATTTGTTATTCCCATAAAAAAATGTTGGTGTTTTCTATATTATCCAATTAGTTTATGCAGAACTTTTACTGTTGTTTTACAAATGAAATAAATAAAATTACAATCAGTATATATATAGAAGAGAATCTAATAACGTGGTGTGAGTTGGAAAGGTGTGTAAATAAAGAAGGAGGGAGTACGGACACATTCTTAGTTTTCTTACCATTTGGAAGAAAACTTCACATTTCCT